CGAAAGGAAGAACGGCAAAGGATCGATTGTGATCGAAGCCGATCGGAGACATGTTGATCTTTTGATCCAGGCATTTGGCCTGGAAAAGGCAAATGGTGTGGAATCACCAGATGTCAAGAAGTCGGCAGATCAGCAGATGCTGGAAAGCCGCAGTCCGCTGCTTGATAAGAGCGAGGCATCAAAGTATCGTTCAGCCACGATGCGTGCTGCGTATCTGTCTCAAGATCGACTCGATATTGGACACGCAGTCAAGAACCTTGCTCGAGGTATGGTGTCGCCAACAGAAGCCAAACTTGCAGACTTGAAACGTCTCATCAGGTACTTGAAGAAATACCCTGATGTTGGGCAATGTTTTGGCTCACAGCAGGCACCCTCAAGGCTGAGGGTCCAGGTCGACGCCGACCACGGTGGAGATGCTGTGACACGTAAAAGCACAACTGGCATGATTGCCATTTATGGCACACACGTGCTGAAACACAGCAGTAACATCCAATCCACCATAGCCCTTTCCACAGGCGAGAGCGAATACTACGCACTCGTGAAGGGCGGATCTGTGGGCTTAGGACTTCAAAGCCTATGCGCAGATCTTGGTTTGGATTTGGAAGTCGCCATAGAAGGCGACTCCAACGCAGCCAAAGGAACTGTCAACCGAGTGGGTTTGGGAAAAGCCAGACACATCCAAACTCGCTACCTATGGTTGCAAGAAAGGGTTGCCGAAGGCCACTTGAAAGTGCACCACGTTCCAGGAGTCAAGAACAAAGCCGATGTGTTGACCAAATCGGTTCCTGGGGTGCAGCTTCGCAAAACCATGGAGGACCTGCAGTATGCATTCCAGCAAGCGAAGCAAAGGACAGTTGGATGTTTTGGAGTAAGGTCCCTGGCCAAGCTCCACTACCACAACTGAGAGTGGCTCAGCAGCGGGAAGTTTCACATGTTTACTTTCTTAAGCTTGCGCAGCAGTACAGTGCTTTGCAAGAGGAGGAGTGTTTGCATGTACAGCCCATAAATACTCCGCTAGAGTACTGTAGACACGTGACTTATGACGTGTTTTGGCTCAAGGTGAAAAGGCGTTCCGAAAAGTCGAAACCTCGTTTTCATATAGGGATTCCATGTGGAGACCTGAGTTCTACCATTTTGCCATCATTTTGCCTAGCTTGGAGCATTGGGTTGGTGATTCACCCCGTCCCCTGTGAGCATCGATCAGGCACTCTTTTGAAGCTGAAAGGTTCCAGGTGAGAAGCCCCTACAAATGGAATGTGATGCCCGTATTGCATTGTTTTTTACAAAATTGTAATCCTTAGACTACCCTATAGAGTATATCACCCAGAGGTTCATCCGGATCCTTCTCTTTTTTGCCACATGCCCTCTATGGAGTCCTCCCGAAGAGGATCCGCCCTTTTCCCCCCAAAACAGAGTTTCTTCCAGCTGACCGCTGCTGTCGTTCCGGAGGACGACCTGTCCGCCGTCGCCGGTCCCGCTGCGCCAGGTGCGGTGAGCGCCATCCCCGCGGAGTGTCGGTGTCGCTACCACGTGGCTTATGTGGACGAAGGCACGAGCACGTCGCGCGTTCCGCGCGTTCCGCATCTCGCGCGGAACGCTGGCGCCGCCCAACGCGGCACGCTGCGCTGCTGGGGGGCGCAAGGGAGGGCGCCGCATCAACTGTTGGAGCATGTTAACGGATGTTATAATCATATAACGCATGTTATAGGCCGTTAGTCTTATGACCCCTAAACAGGGTGCCCCTAAAGAACCCTATTGTGGAGACAAAAACCCCGCGGACCCGTGTTTTGACTTTCTTGTTATCTCGTACCTTGACAGTCCACGAAGGCGTATAATTACTGTTGGACCCTGACAATAGCCCCTTTGGTTCAGAAGGGATTTACATGGATTTACCTATAGGCAACTAATTTTAAAGGTGAAACCCTTTCAGGACAGGTGAGTGATATGTGGAACATGCCAAAAGATTGACGGCACAGCATCCCCCCCCCAAGAGACTTCCCTTTTGTCATCCCGTGTGGTAGTGGCAAGACTGACTTGCACACCGAGAACTCCGCGCTCCTCGGCCCCACTTCGCCCCCGTTCCTCGGTGCCGCGAGGTCATCGCCCGGTGCACAAGGCGCTTTGGATGAAGTTCTGCCACCTGGTGGCCGCGATCCCACAAGGACCGAATCACCGGGTGACCGGAGCATCGCCACGTCGGGTGACCGGGTGACCGAATCGGGGCGACCGGCTTTCGAGTTGGGTCGGGTGCGGTGGATGACGGGCGCGCGCGCGCGATCCCCCAAGCCACCGGGGGGAGACGAGATGGGCGTTCCCGCGAGGAGAACCGTTCAGGTCGATCGGGTCGTTCGGGTGGGAGGGCGTATAGTCACTATTTACCCAAACACTCCATGGGACTGCCATAGATGCCGCCCCATTGACCCCCAGTCAACCACCCCAATGTAGGTATATATGGCAGTCCCATGGAGTGTCTGGGATAGTCCTTTCGATGCGCGTTTTGTTGGGAGTTGCCGGAGATGGGGTCGATTTTTGGTCGCACGGAGGAGCGGGAAGAGGCGGTTCTATTCCCAAAACGTCGGGTCCCAGACCAAACCTGAGGAGGTACGACTTGTTCGCCCTATAAGGATTACTGTAAGTACTTACTTACTACCCAGACGCGACCCTGGGCCCTCATATGGAGGGGTCGGACCCTCATATGGAGGGGTCTGGGGTCTCAAATCCCTAGGTTTGGAGGGACCAAGGGCTGTTTGGAGCCGTTTGGGTACTTATTATATCTTGAACGAAGGCGCGGACTGGCATCTTTGGACTCTGGTCCATGTTCCATGGAGTCCATAGGGGGTTACATGGGTTCCATCAAAGGATCCATCAAAGGATCTGTTAAACAGGGATGGGGAAACATAGGTTTCATAGGATGAGGTTCATATGATGGGGGTTTCCCCGGATCACTGACTCCAGATCCCAAGACCGAAAACGTCCTTCTGGCTGACTGGCTGACTGGTTGGTGGAGCCACACAACGTGCGGCTCCAAACGATGGGGTATCCGTTCGGCCGGAGCCGAACGGAGGAACGGACGTTCTCCAAAGGAGGCGTTCGGTTACAGTGAGGTTCCATCAAAGGATCTGTTAAAGAGGGATGGGGAAACCTGGATCGTGTCCATTAACCACCCCAACAGTGGGTCCTAGTAGACTGAATGTCAGAGTTGGCTGGTAGAAGTGACAAACTTTTGCTCGATGGATGCGGTCAAATATCTACTGTCTAGCACAAAAGCCACCTCACTGTTACTTGATGTTTTCATTTGTATTTGGAGTTTT